TGTGGGTGTTTAGCAATTCGCCCACACACCGGTTTTCACGACGCAAAGGGGGCTGGTGTGTGGGCGTTTATCACTTCGCCCACACACCCATCTCCTCGCCGACACCCAAAGCTGACAGTTGCCATGTGTTTCTGCAGGGTGCATGGCAACTGCCCTAGTTTTACTTGTAAGCAGATGGAAATTCTCTTTTACCCGAGTTGCCATGTGTTTTTGCATGGTACATGGCAACTGCCCTAGCGTGCACGTAAGCAGATGCCAACTCTTTCTCTTTACATGGCAACTGCCCTAGCATGCTTGTGAGCACACGACAACTCTCTTTTACTCGAACATGTTTTTTTGCCATACTTTTTTTAGTGCTACACGGCAACTGCCTAGTGTTATTGGGTGGCAATTCCTAAAGTTTTGAAATCATGACAACTGCAGTAGACCAGACCATACATGGCAACTGCAGTTGAGCAACCATGACAACTGTAGTTGTCCGACATGGCAACCCAAATTCAACGACATGGCAACTACAGTTAAACGAATATGGACGAGGGTCTGGACCATGGCAACTGCGGGACGCGCGGTGACTGTCACGCGGGGCGTGCGGGACCACGAGGTACGAGGCCTGACGTACGGGGCGTATGGGCGTTATCTATTTTGCCCACACGCATGCGTGTGAGAGGGATCGGGAGGGAAAAAAAAGGTGTGTGGACATTACTTGTTTTGCCCACACATAGATGTGTGGACTGTTCCTCTTATACACCACACAAAATCTGTGAGCAGATCCCCTAACACCCACACATGTGACACTTATCGACGTCCTATATAATACATGAGCAGCACCGAACCAATGCCTAACCTATACGTGCTAGGACTCCTAGTTCTACTTAGACTAGAACACAGCCTAACCAATCTACGGCCAAGTGATAATCCTAGTCGGACTCATACAGCCAACTCCAATGCTACTACAACACGTAGAGCTAGCTTGCTGTAAATAAACACCACGTAGACTCCCTGCTATTACTAATCGAGACCACTCTAACATTCTCTCCCTAATCTTGACACACTTTGTCTTCTATGCTTCTCTGGACTTGGCTCATTGATGATCATCCCTTGTCGACTCATCTGCTCGCATCACGACATGTCAAATTACCGGCTAGATTGTTGCTAACATTCTCTCCTCAATTTTGACTTGGCAAATTTACGGACCACCTCAAATATGCCTTGGACTACCCAGCCTTGCTAGTAACCTGTAGAAAACACCACCCGGTGAACTTGACCGTTCACCCTAGCGAGATACATGCAGACTCCTTGTGGATCACACCATTCTGTGGACTACACCGCTCACTCCAGCCTATGTAGAGACATGGCCTCATTGAAGAGACTCACATTCACTGGTTTACCGCCCCACATAGTTGAACTTGATCCTCTCGTCGAGACACATAGACGACCTAGATGCGCTTCATCTTCAATGCCTCATCACAGAGACGAGCACTTGGACATGACGACGACTGACAGGACGACGACCAACTGACCGATCGACCGACCGACGGTGCTAACCCGCACAACTCCTTGACTCCAACTCCCGGATGACGATCTTGATGACTTTCCGGCACCGCATCACCGCACCACCGCTCCCGTCAACGATCTCCATCCATCGCCTTGCCAACGACAGCCCGCCGTCTCCCTCCATGTCGCTCCGCCGAACGACAATCTCACGATCCTCCTCGTCGCTGCACCACCCAGCGACCATATCACCCGCTCTTCCTCATCACTGCACCACCCAGCGACCATATCGCCCGCCCCGAGGCGCTAGCAGGTCACCACCCCGGGGCAAGCACGGCTTCAAATCAACCTTGCTCTGATACAAATTGTTGAAACTCGCCCACAGGATCGATCACATCACAGTACGACGAACACGCGCACAAAAAACTTCTATAGCCAAGGGCTCTTGTCGTGCCCTTTGTTTCTCCTCTTTTTATTTTTTGTTTTCTCGACGGTGTTACAAAAACTCACGTACGTCTCATGTATATATAATACATGAGCAGCACCGACCCAATGCCTAACCTATACGTGCTAGGACTCCAAGTTCTACTTAGACTAGAACACAGCCTAACCAATCTACGGCCAAGTGATAATCCTAGTCGGACACATACAGCCAACTCCAATGCTACTACAACACGTAGAGCTAGCTAAAACAATATCAAACACCACGTAGACTCCCTGCTATTACTAATCAAGATCACTCTAACATTCTCTCCCTAATCTTGACACACTTTGTCTTCTATACTTCTCTGTACTTGGCTCATTGATGATCATCCCTTGTCGACTCATCTGCTCGCACCACAACAAGTCAAATTGCCGGCTAGATTG